TACCTGCGTTGTAAAGTTCGCAGGAATTTAGGTCTCCTTGCCTTGAAGATATAGTCAAGTTTGGGCTAATGATGGGAGAAAGTTTAGGGCAAGGGGAGTTTGTTCCTAGGATGAGGTTGGGATAGAGATGGGGAGTTTGTTCGTAGGATGGGAATGGAGATCGTGGATGTGGATGATGTGGAAAGGGTAACTGATGGCATTTTTAATAAATGTATTTCCTTTGCACTTTTTAAAGCTCTTTTGTATTTTACCACATCTTTCAATTACGATATTCCATATATACTAGTCAAAAGAAGTTTAAGAACAACTGATAGTTTCATATTGCTATATTTAATCTGGCATGCATCAAAAAAAATTAAAGAACACCTGATTGTTTCATATTCTTATAGTTAATCTGGCATGCCATGACACCTTAATTACATTAATTTGAAAGAATCAGGTGTTCTTTAACTTCTTTTTATTAGCGTATTAGTAAGGACTGGCGTTGTTACCTTGGTGGTAAATTATATAAACCTTTTAAACAAAAATGTGTATATTTCTTTCAGAAAATATTGATTTCTATCAACACAATAAGGGAGAACTCTATTATAAAAAAATGATTCAGATTATTATTTCTATACATATTCAAACCTGACATATGTGTATATTTAGGCCGACCGATTTGAATATGAAACGTTAATGTACATAGCTACAAATTAAGATCAAATTATGAAAAAGCCCATGAAGTTTTATGTTTTAACGAAAGGTAAATCTTGGAAAATGTCGGAATCATATGTGCATTTAACGAAGTATTCAATTACTTCTAAACCAAAGATGCTATAACAAGCCACACGTCGTGTCTTATCGTGGACGGGAGAGCCAGATATAAAATCTCCTTTTTCAAAGCTGTTTTTTACTGTATTGTTTATGTTTGTGTGTTACACACATTTACCAGTAACAAAACAAGCTGTTAAAACGTGTGATAGATATTAAAGCTTGATAAATAGATCGTCACACTTATCAAACAAATGTGCGAAATTTGAGATAATTTGTAATTCAAAATCAGTGCCAGTGAGTTTGTTTACAGGTCACGTTGCTGTACATATGGAACCCTCCCAACAGGAAGTGTTTGGAATTTTCACACCGAAAAAAAAGTGAAAAAGAAAATCAGACGGAAAATATCAGTTCAACTTTAATGTTTCCGGCTCTATATTTCTCAAATATTTGATAAAACTTCCTAAATAAACTCATGGTTGGAAGATATTCTTGGTGTTAATGCTTGTCCTAGTCCTGCACCATGACCGTGGAATATATTTATTTTATGAAAAAAAGATAAATCTAGAAACGCATACAAAAGCAAGTCTAGCCAGCTCGAGCTAGCTCTATTCCACATCAGCATAGGGATTTATTTTGATTTTTAGAGTCAAGAAGGATATGGTGTAATATAAGATTTCAGAGACTAAATGTTAGTCTATGGTTGTCCGTTTTACCCCAATGTAACACACCTCGATCAGAAGATTTTAAACGTGACCAGTTTAAAACATGGTTTATATTGATATTTAAACAGATTTTACTGTCCAGGCTTAAATGACCCGTGCCATATGACGGGAGAACTGGGTTTTATAGGAGGAGGGGAATCAAAAGGAATAGGGAAGGGAAATAATATTCACAGAACATACTTTTTGGAGGTACTATCAGAAGCGGTGCATTCAGTTCATCTTGGTATAGTAATGTTCCCCCATATATACAAAATGGTACTCAGCACAATATAGGAAAAGCTAAAACTTATGAAGTGTAATTTTGTCAAAGATTTTTATCGGAAACAAATATTACGATCTATTCTCATACAAATTGTGAATGGAGGAAAAAAATTGACATTGCGAGTTCTGAAGAGTTCAAAAGCATGTTTTGGTTGTTGAATCATCGGAACTCATCAATATTGTAGGTTGCATATTACGTATAACTGAAATTTCTATTCTGGTATGGAATACACTCAAAGTTCAAAGTGTCAATGGTTTATTTTCTTCAATCTCACATTGAAGAACAAATCTGTTATGCGCTTAAGGTTTCTGCGCATGTAAAATTCTTGGAAATCAAATGAAGCGTGCCATGTGTTGCCAGTCTGGAACTCCCATATTCATGCCTTGGACCTCCCAAAGTTCTAACAGAGAGTCCCCTGGCCTGGAAAGTAGATAGCCCCGGGACTTAACCATATTTTTGTGGTTATTGTGTTCTGTTGTCACCATCATATTTCACGTTGTTACAAAATACATTAAATATCATACTCTTAACTGCTATTGAGTTGCAGTTCTATCAAGTTCCCACGGTAAGAGAACTAGAGATGTTAGTGTAAAGACAATGATAGCTGTCTTTCAGTGTCAGCAGAACATCAGAAATAGACTACAGAACTCCCTGAGAGAAGTACAAGACGGTCGTCTAGAGTCGGGCCTCCAAAGAGATCGCTCCCTTCCTTTCATTGCCACCCCGAAGGCTGTGGGACATTTTAATGAAAGCGGTTATAAAAGTCGATATTCCTTCCCGATTCACTGCATTGTCTCTGCACAGATCAATATTGATGTAACCCTAAGCTTCTCTAGATTTTGACGGACTTTTTATTCTAGATACAGAAATCGATGATGTTATGAGCCATGAGACAACGTTGCGAGATGTCACTGACAACGCAGCTAAGATGACAGACGCAAAGGCAATCGCTCAATTCAGGTAAAAGCCATCGAAATCGATTTTCGACCGATCAGCTCCTACAGTCCGCATGTATCATTGCCTCGAAGGCGTAAAACAAACATATCATTTTGGTGTGTTTATCCCATGATTTATTGGCGTGCTGACATTCAACGATTCCATTTTATAGCTCATGACTGACTTTAACTACACACGCCTTTACAAGCTACGCCTTTTTCTCTGAAAAAATATTTCCAGATGAACCATTTCGGTTTTGTAAAATGATTTTAAGAACTTTAACTTTGAAGGCATAAACCCGCTCTGTTTGTATGCATCAGCCAATTTCAAAGAAATATAGAATTCCCGATACGGTGTTTGTGGTTTTGAAGCAGCTGAGATGACTCTATTTACAGAAAATAAGTAGGTAGGTCAGACGTTGAATAACGTTATCGATTGCTTTGTTAGATATTTTTGAACAATGAAACGAGTCAGTAACGACTAAATAAATATCAACTCGAACAATACATAAAAAAAGAAAATTAATTTGAAAGGTTAATACAAGGAATGAATTAAGTATTTTTACTTTCTTTGAAAAGAACGTCTATACGTTTTTTGGTATTAGAAAATCTAAAAGTAATAATTTCATTATTTTTGTGTAAATAATAAACTGATGTATTCATTATATTGACACAAAGTCGTTCACCATGCGTGGGCGATTAGCTCTAGTTCTCCATGAATGATCCCAAATTGGTAGAATCATTTGAATAGTGAATTCGATAATGTCTTACTTCAAACCCTGTAAACTAAAAATAAGATAAAACTGAATTAATTGCTTAGCCACTAGAACAGATGGGAACTGCAAGATTCGGGTGGATTATGTGGTAACATGTATGATTATATATATATATATATATATATATATATATATATATATATATATATATATATATATATATATATATATATATATATATATATTGTTTCTCTGAAACTCCACATGTAACTTTCACTGCAACTCTAGTGTGCAACATGTAACTTGTAATTTCACTGCAACTCTAGTGTGCTACATGTAACTTGTAATTTTAGCTACATGTTCATCGAAACACTAAATCGGTGCCGGTGTCGACGTTCTTAGTGCTAAGCGGTTTGTTTCTGTAGTTTGTACCGAGGGGGTCGTTACATGGAAGGAATTATCCAAAGAATCCATGTGAGCAGGAAAGACCGCAGTAAATTAACTGATAGAATAGAGCGGCAGATTATTGTAAAACAGACATAACTCTTGACTGCGGCTTCATGATTGCAGGTTACTGACAGGGATGGCTGGGATTGGTTGTATTATTGATTCATAAATTTATAAAAAAAAAAAAAAAAAAAATTTTGTTGTGTCGCATGTGCATATAGACATAACAAGTCCTGTGTAAGCTATATAGTCATTAGATCATATCTTCATACATTAATCCTATCTATATATATATGTATGTATATATGTGTATATGTATATGTATATACACACGTATATAAGAGTCAAGAAGTAGCTTTGAAAAGTCCTTACATAGACAGAATAAAACTACTTATCAATAAAAAAGTGTCGTATCGATGTTCTTCCAACTTCTAAATACCTATCAAAGACATAAAAGAATAGCTATATATCACAAAAGAGGACGAATTATTTATAAGTTCCACAGTTAAGTGAGTTTAATGAGTTACGGCAACAAATTATTCTATTCGTTTAAGAAATGTGTTACATGCCCGAGCTGCACTCGTGACTTGATATTTGAGGATTGACACGTTTATCTCTGCTCACGATGTCTATTCTCATACGCTGTGTAGCGAAGGGTGTTAGTATATTTGTATTGACATGGCATGTATTGCAGACAATAAATGAGTTCGAGATACCCGTTTACTATAATAATACAGAACTCCTGATGTGACGAAGTCGGACAAATCGTATGGTCTGTCATAACGTACCATATAGTAGAAGAAGTGTTATGTAGCGTTGTTTCGGATGTAACGAACGAATTTTGCAGATCCATTGAAGTTCGTTACATCAGGAGTTGGTTGTCATATCATCCTTTCTATCGTTGACATGATTCCCTTGTCATGCATGCACGTCGACGTACACAAACCGGACGTAAACTAATTGTTTGCACTGATACTCTGGGTGAGTGAGTTTGGTTTTACGCCGCTTTTGCAATATTCCAGCAATATCACGGCAGGGGACACCAGAAATGGGCTTCACACATTGTACCCATGTCGGGAATCGACGCTTTAACCACTAGGCTACCCGACCGCCCCTCTGATAGTCTGAAAGTCAGCTGCAGAATAGCATAAAGGAAAAATAGTCACATTTGTACACATTTTATTGCATAATTTAAATTATGTTTTTCAAGAAATAGGGATGATTGAGTGAGATACACTAGAGGACGCCATTTTGATTGCACGCTCTGCACGTGCTGATGAGAGAGATGACAGCACGACATGGAGAAGACAAGATCACATAGCTACTCTGTGGTGTAAACGATGCACAGACGTGTTGTCGTACCCCTCCCCCCAATAAGGGGTGGGTGGGGTATAGTTCGGAGCCACGCGCTCAGTTCGTGCAAAAATAACAATAAGAAGCACAGCACGAGAATGACACAAACCACTGTCTATTTACATAGTTCATAATTTCATTTGTCCTATATATATCCACATTTTTCACAACGAGTCAACACAACATTCGTGGTCCGGACTCCTGATCCGGTTGGTAACAACACCTACACAGTAGGCTAACACAGATACGCGTCCCGTGTAAAACCCGGACCGATGCCGGTCCTCCACTTCCTGGTTTTGACTTGGAGTCGGGCTCACTATGACTCTCGTACGTCCACACTGCACACAGGTAAGCCCAGTTTACACTAAGACTGAGGACCAGCCGGTGGGACGTTGATAGGCGTGTTCCTTGTGCGCGTCGGAGCCCTGAACGGAATATGGGTCTCCTGCCCCCAGCAGAGTGGCAGTGAGGTACTAGGTTGATTGAGTAAGTTTTCCGGGGCGGCGTCACTCCCAGACGCCGCCGACGGGATACCGTCACTGACTGAGCGGACTCGAGAGTTCTGACGGTGTTCGGGGAAAGTCGGAACTAACGGAGTTGGGCATGTCGTCGTGGTGGAGGTAGGAGACGTGCATGAGGGGGTCGCTCTGTGGGGACGCTCCCCCTGCCCCGCAGTGGGCTTCCATGTTGTCGAACGTTGACATCTGGAACGCAACGACGTCGACATTAATACAACGTCACGACTACATACGTATACGCCGTTTCATCACCACAATGATATCATTACAGTTTAACTTTTTAATCGGCGAATGGTTGATCTTTGGAATAGTCCGGATAAAAGAGTGTCCGGATTAATTACATATGCATCAAACGTTATCCATTAATAAAATCACATATTGTATATTGTGAACACACCGCACTGGGAAATTTTACATACTGTTTTATGTCAGTTTATTAGACAATTTTAATAAATATGAATAAGACTCATCTATGCATAAATAAGCAAAGCAGTGTTGTCTATAAAGCAAAACAAACATATCTTAAATGATATAAAATAATAATCAATAAAGCATCACTATATGAAAACTAACGGTCTATCTCAGGACACAGGGCAACTAAAAAGGGCGTGCTATAACAGAAGGGTTCAAACCCAGGTGATAAGGTGAGAGAGAGCTGACAGACTTTGGGGACTTTCGATATCAAACAGTATGGTGTTCCGATTGTATGACGATTCGCTGGTATATTATATCTTTGATTCTTTTGTGTTTTACATCTGGATTCTATTAGGAACTATTCGCTCCTATAAGTCGTTTTGAATCCGATCGAATGACAATGCTAAAAATAACCGTCCAATCAAATTTCATGTGCGAGAGACATTCTGTGGAAAGTAACTGATTGGACAGATGGAGATGGTGACGATGCTGTGGTGCCGAATGGATACAGGGTATAGATCATAATATAATAAAGCTATTATACACTAGATAATGGCTTTATACCATGGCAGTGTATCGCCAGGACAACTGATTACACTTGCCATTACGAAATCTTTGTTATTGGTTCATATTATTTGTGTTATATAGTTCCAGTTAACTAACGTGTTGATAGAAACGGTTCCCCAAAGCCCCTCCCCTCCTCCCTGTGCGTGCAATATAAGCTTGACACATCAAGGGACGGCAGCCACAACACCTTTCTTGTGATATGTACGACGACTGGGTTAATAAATAATGTGAAGGCTTTCCAGGTTAGGTGATAAGTGAACTGAGAAGTAAAAACAAATTCAGGGTGTATTTTTTAAAGATCGCGCGAGAAAAAGGATTAAGAAGGGGGTTGTACAAAGAGGGTCAAGAGGGGTGACGAGCTCAGTCACGACACAAGAAAGGCGTAGTGGGTTAGCGCCTGGAGTGATGGAGAGATTACCGTTAGTAAGAGATGGGAGCATCTGATTGGCTAGAAGCAGCCACGTGACTAGCCCTGGTCCTCGAGATATACAACCGTATCATCCTCATCAGGAGGGGCCAAGAAACTGCTCACCAGTTGTTGGAAGGGGGGATGGTGGTGGTCGATGTCTCCCTGCATGGCGAACTCACTCAGGGCTTTCCAAGGAGTTTGGTAACTCTGGACCTCTACTGGGCTAGCCTGGATTCCAGGCCCCTCATGACGTACAGGGCTGGATGCCACCATGGGGACTCCCTGCAGGGGGCGCTGCAAGCCGTTTCCGTTCTGCAACAGATGAAAGAAAGGCTGTGGTCACATAAAGACCGCATCTGGACACAAATGAAAGTCTGACTAAGCAAATGGCACGTGTGGATGTATGAGATGAGATTGTGCTCGTTTTATATACATTAGCATTAATGAAGCCTGATTCATGTCTCGATACGAGAACTCCTGTTCTGTGTAATCGCCGTCAGCGTATAGACAGTCTCTATGATTGCTGAACGAATTGGAATATTCCAACAGTGTGATTTGCGGCAGTGTACGGTTCATGAAACAGAAATTCCATTATTGAGTAAAGAAACAGAATATTTTCCAGTAGCTTTAACACCGTTAAATCAAGACTGAGGCGATGATATTTTCAGTTGAATAACAACCCAAGAATTGAAAATAAACTCCGATTATGAGAATATTCAAGAAGTACAAACAAAGACCTGGGGAATGATAAAAGCGTGAGATTGCGACCGTTTACTATAGAAACTGGCCAAACAGTGGGACTACACACACCATTGTTATAAGCCTATACACCGCCGTCTCGACTGATCAATCGGGTCCTAAAGTTTATTTACCCGTGAGAAATTGACATGGAATCGATGGAACCAGATTTAGAAAAATCTATACTGAACAAAGGGACCTAAACACCCTCCGAGAACTAAAAACCGCGCCAGTGCACGTCATTGTTGTACATAGCGCATGCACGTGGCTTCCCGCTTTACTCGCTCTTTGATGGCCATTCTGACAGGTGAAACATACCATGGATGATAAGATGACAGGGTGACAACGCGCGGACCTAGCAGGAAACAACCTCACATTGCGCGGACGTCAGAGAGGACACATTATCGATACGTTTCTGCATTGGACCTACTTGAATATTGTGAACAGTCACAAAGAGTTTAACTGATAGCAGCATATCTTTCAACACCAATTAAATAATCTAGGCGTAGTCATTGACAAAGTATGCTATTACCACATTGATCAAACGATCTAGATGTTATTAATTCAATTGCTTACACAAATGTTAAATGAAATGGAACTTGTCTAATTTGCGCACTTCTTTGAAAGACACATTATACAAAAAGGATATTACATATTTCAACTGTTTTCATGAGGGTCATAGGTGAATAAATAAATAAATAAATAAATAAATAAATAAATAAATGACATGACTGGGGCTTCTGCTTAGATGTAGAAGTACATGTTTTGAGGAAATAGAGCGATAAAAACATTGATATAGTGCAATAATGGATTTCTTATCAGACATCGCTTTTTCTGGAAACCATGTGGAAAATAAAGGTAAAGCTAATAATTATTTTAGTATCGACAGATGTGGCGATTGCTGGCGTTTAGTTACAGGTGTGACATTGATGAATCGGGTATCTTGCGGGAGGAGGGGAGCTTTTCACTTTTATTGCACACCAGTCTCTAACGGTTGCATATCAGTATTCATCGACAATAGCAATGCGCCGGCAAACAGTGAGATAGTTTTAAGATTATGAAAGATAATACGTTAGACGATATCGCAGATCCCGATGCTAAGATACAGGTTCACCGAATCTCCGAGGACCTTTATGATAATCACCATACAAATCACACCAAGATACTTTAACATAACTCCACTGTGAAAGGCGAGTTGTTAAATTATGCATTATTTATTCTGAACTAGCTTTTTTTGATAGCCTTGATATAGAACGTGGCTTTAACACACCCAGTGTATACGTAAAAACAATGTACCTTTAAATCCTCCGATTATCCAAACACTAAATGCAATGTTTATCCAGTTTTGTACTGACGGACAGTTAAAAAACACGAATATTCCACAGAACGAACACTTGCATACCATATAATGTACAAAGGCTACAAAATTCTTAAAAATCGATATTTTTTTTTTTTAAAAGATCAAAGATGTTGGCCGTTTGAGATAAGGTGGTCTCGTGCACCCGATGCACGTGCATGAACGTGCAGTTAGCGCGAGAAGCACGTGAGGGGGACAGGCCACAGCACATTTGGTGAGGGACTTCTTGGAGTGACGCCAGATGAGACCGGGGTTTAAAATGACCGTGGGACGGGGTAATTGCTCCGATGATAATAGGGTGTGGACCGCCCGGGGGGTGGGGATCGAGCGGTCCGGGCAACCGGGGAGACATGATTGTGGATGGAAATCCTCACACAGAGAATACTGTGACGTTATGGTGGAACCATGGATAGAATGAGCTTCCCCTGGTCCAGTGAGAGTATCATGTAGCGACTTAATAAGACTGTAATTTCTTCAATAATGATTGTGCTAATTTCATAGATGCGCCCCTCTGTTTAAACGGCAGTTTCTGTGCAGGCTCGGTCACGACTTTGCTATGCTTGAAAGCAAACATCTGCTCCTAGGCTGTAGTCCCCATAACGACAGATTTTTCAAACAATACCCGGGCTCCGAATACACCAACCCAGTTCTCTTTGTCTCAGTTCATTCGAGAAAATTAGCAATAGTTATTATTTCTTTGCCTGTTAACGAGAGAATTGAGTTGATCTTTATTGAAAACATATAAAGAATCTAAAATAATAAAATAAATAAACAAATAAACAAACAAATAAATAAATAAATAAATAAATAAATAAATAAATAAATAAATAAATAAATAAATAAATAACAGATATCAACATTCCGTAATTGCAACTAAATATAAATTTATTTTACTACATTTGCATTCTTCCAGAAGAGCTTTCACTAAAATAGCTGCGTTAAACGGTATTGTTAGTGTAAATGCACGTGTTCCATAATGCAACTGAATAAACATCACGTGCTATGTTGAATTAATAACCTTTAAGAGATGGTGTTAACTCCCGAATTAAAAATCTTGACAAATATTGACATAAACGTCTAGATATTCAACATGTCAAAAGTATTGATAGTTTCTCTATAGTCGACGCTCGCAATAAACTGTTTTATATGCGTTTATAAAAAAAATCCTTCCTTGTAAATGGGTGCCCAATCATATTATTAATTCAGCGATTTAAGTCTATTAGCGCCATTACATCTAACGTTATGATTACTACGAAGCAAATAAATATAATTGTAATTATATACATTATTTAAAGTTTTGTAATATAACATCCCATTTAGCGTTACATCAAGGGAAAATATCACAGCGTTGAAAAGCATAATAATTGTTACTAGCCGACTTGATTTACGTAACATATTGTTTGTGTCGAGAGAAAAGGCATTTGAATATTTTGAATGGCTGTTGGGTTTGATGTCGTTATATCTCCATCTAGACAACAAAACAGTTTGAATAGCGATTACTACCACAATGAATATTTCGAGAAGCGGATATGGATGGAATATGTAGAATATTAATAAAGACTTGATCATCGCCTGCAAAGCGTTTCTATGGGGGAAAAAGTCATTCAGACCAGGTTAATCCGAACGAATGGGTGTGCTCTTTGTGATCCTGACTAATCCATGATGTTGTATCTTCCATGTGAAGCTAGGACAATACAATGCCTCAACAATTTGCTTTTAATTACGAATGTTAAAGAAGCAATCCAATAAGACCATTCCTTAATTTCCTGATATAGCGGAACGGAAAGGTCGCTTCGGAGTTAGCAATGCCGTATCGAGGAGGAAATTGAACGGCTCAGCTCGCTAATCAGTGAAACAAATTTACATCAAATTAACCCGCCATGAATTTTTTTTACCAAAGGCTGCATTCAGTGTTAAACTCCAGCAGTAATCAGCGGTAGAGCTGCGATCATTACGACTTGAAGTTTCTAAGGCGCGCGCCAGATATTTACTGTCCAAAGAGTCCATTGTCAGGGCGTTGTTCGCCAAGAAAATCGCAATGGGGAGATTTCGAACCAGCTTTGTGATTTAATTAAACGAATATAATAGAAAGATAGCTCAAAGAACAGCTTGACTTCTAGAACAGACAAATTCAGAATAAAAAAATGTTAAAAACTAAGAATTTGGGTTATGTACCAATCAGCCGTTACGACCAGCAAAGGTTGACGGAGATAAAAAGAAACCATTGCCATCCAGCTTAAGTTGAAAATTAATCATAATATAAATTCTACCGGTCAGTGAAATAAAATTGAAATGATATGAATATAATTAATAACTATATTTCAAAAGATAAAGGTAATTATGTAGATTTTTACTTTGAAATAAAGATTACTCAAATAAACACGAATTATTGGCGTATTGGATGACAGCGTAGATTAACGGTAATGTATTTTTTATGCTGTGCCATTGCTTAAAGCCTGGCTCATCGTCTAAAGTCGCCTCAGTGAGTATCAATCTTTAATGTCAATGGTGCTGATTCATGACATTAGTGTCAGGACGCTCACGTGGTCAGTCCACGACACAACTAGCCACTTAAACCTGGCCCATATAATCCAACACCTACGCATATGATGGAGGGTATAACCTCACATGCAATATTCCTATATATTTCTTTTCATATATTTTCGCTGAGATAACTTCACCATGCCCGAAAATTGTAACGATTTCTGAATAATTGTTTTCAACCAAAGTCGATATTAATTATGACGGGAGGATGATATCAGTTAAAATAACATTTAATGTAGCACTACGCCCATTGTAACTTTTATAAGTAAAATAAAACAATTCTGACAATACCCATTCACAGTAGTGAATAAGAAATGTATTCACTGGAGAATGTTTATGTAATAATCTTAATGTACATCATTCTCCCTACTACACGCTCCTCGCAATATATCAATAATTTATACCACGAAAATAATATCTGGAAAAATGCACCGCAAGTAGAAAGTCACATAAAAACCTTCATTGTGGTGGACTGACTAATGATATATTCATTAAGATATTCCAACAAAACAAGAAAAAAAACCCACACACAAAACATAAAAAACAAAATGGGCGTAAAATGTACTGTTCAATAAATTTAAATCCCAAATATGTAAGAAGATATATAGATTATTATTTTTTATCAGTGCCTTAATTTCACAGAGGGTGGGACCTAATGAGTGTGTAATACTACGTAAAGAGGAAATACCGTTAAAAATCACAAATTACACATAAAATATCAGATAAGTATGTGATATTATTACGATGGTTATTAAGGGATCGGGAGTCAACACGTCGCCTTGGTGTGGACCGAACCCGGTGTGTGTTGCGAGTAAGGTGTAGATGGTAGTATGTAGGGGGGGAGGCTCAATGTTCTCAACAAACCTGGGGGTGATACACCGGGTTATCCAAGTGCGAGAGGGCAGAAAGTCACCCTATCTAAACATGGCCATATTGTTGGTAAGCGGCAATGCACCGAAATGGCTCCACAATATACACAGTATTTGTTTGCAGAGGTTTCAAATTTAAATCTCAAAAAGTTAGTCGTCAGAATAAATACTGTAGAAATGAGAGAAATAGCTCTCTAACCATATACATCTGTCTGCATATAGCAATTTACACTAGTTGAATAGGGGGATATTCCAGTGTCGTTATACCTCTACCACTGATATGAATTCTACCGCAATATGACACCACCACCCACAAACCCTGCATACTCTATTGGTGTTTTCTGAGGAATACCATTTCAACTGTATCGAAATTGTTTTAATTACATCGCACTGTAAACGAAGTATAGATATATTCTTCAAAGAAAGGCCCATCACACAATCCAGTGTCCTCATCAACACTTGAATCAATTGACAGAGAACATACCGATGTCGCCTGAGATCAGAATATGACTTAAAAGTTGGAAATGGTCTACCATTAACATTCCATGCCATTATGGAGTCGACGAAGGTGTTGTCCTGATGCAATAACCGCTGTGTAATAGAGTGCGATTGGTCTTTCATTAAAGTGGAGCTTCTTAAGTCGACAACTGCCACAAAGGAGTGCTAGAGTTCTGCTACATTAAACACGACAATTGTGCTCTGTTGGCCTGGGGTACGGTGATGGGAACCCAACTGTTAAGTGGACAGCGAAAATTAGACGAAACTTAATTACCGCAAGAATATCAGCAATAACCTTGCAAATATTGTTCTTCAATTGTTTCTATGATTTTATCAGTTGCCTCGGGATGTCTCGCGTGTCTACGCGTGATTTTGACGCGCTCTCGACTGGACCGCGAGTTGGCGGTAATTAGCAGATACGCAACGTTGACTTTGACATAATCAGAGCGAGTGTTTCTGGGAGGTTGTGATCGGAGAATAGTGCTCATCACGACATAGCGTCTTGTTGTGAAACAGGATTCTTTCTCGCGAAAATTGACAGAAAATTTGATAAGATTGGCAAGAGCAGAAGCGGCACGCGATGTTTCGAATTGAAGGCTATTTCGCGTGAACAGCAGCACACACTTCTGCACGAAAACCGGTCTTTGACTTGGAACTTGACAAGAACCAATCTAGATTTAATACGAAGAATTATCAGAACAATTGAAAGAACCGTACCATGTGCCTGGGGGCGACGTAGAATTAATATAAACCTCCAATCTTGAGTCGGTATTTTCAATTTGTTTGCTAAACTAATTTCAGCTAATATCATCGACTACACCAAATTAGCTATATCTAATTCCATGGCAAAACCTTCTATTTGCGCTTGGTCGTGAAAACCAGGGATTTTGTCTGATAATGTGACGTTTGATGATACGATGCACCGGAAGTGAGCAGTCCTTCAATGCAACCCACAATTCCACGCGAAATGAGCTAGAATCAAACATTATTTTATATCTGCGGCACTTCAGTCCAGCATCGCCGCTTCATAACCAACATATGCTATATTGACAGTAGTAATTACTGGGCCTCGCACAATGGAGGCTGCGTGAAGGGGGTTATTTGCAACCACGTGCATCCGCGAAAATTACCAAACGGTGGAAAAGTTGTAATTTGGGTAAATTACGCGCAGTTTGGCGTTCAGCTTGGTAGTTTTGAGTTAAGGAGAGAAGGAAATGAGAGAGAAAAATTGTTTGAGATTGAAGGCGGTGTTCTCTCGCTAGCCGAGATACTCTGATGGCCGCGTGAGACGGTGATTATGACGAGTATGAGAACATTCGGGCCAACAAGTTGAGAAAGGTGGTGTAATTTGAGCCACTTTTCCAGTTAAAACGTGCTGAGTTTGTGATCAGGCTTTCAAGGCAGATACTCTTCAGTCACAATATAACCTTTACGAATCTGTATCTGAATCTGATCTGAAGCAGTTGGTTTTTCCACTCCAGTATAGATCCAACACAAGATGGAACACTGTTTCAGTTCTATTGAAGTATCGGGAATTATCGGTATGTTTTATCATACTAAATGGTGAGATACATGTCTGATAACACTCGGCTAATATTCCTTTCCGCGCAGACTGATAATACAAGAGCCCAACCCTCAATTTCCCGTCTCCCACCCCCGGGACGAGGGAGGGGGGTTAGGCAGGATGGTCCGTCCTTCATCCCCCCTGCATAGCCAGACATACTCACAGACACACTTCTTATAATCATTTTCAGAAACAAAAAAAGACAGTCATTTTTCAGATATTTTCCTCCCCGGCGTCGGAGCAGGGAGGAAGCTCCCCCAATGCGTCTGCGATAGGAAACAACTGGGGGTAGATAACTGGCTTGGCACTTCTGGGAATACAACATGGAAAACCGCCCCCTTTTGCTCTACACGTGTAAAGGATTCCAAGAAAAATGTTGTGACACGCTACACGAGAGAGTTAATTTTGTTATGAAGAGGTGAAATAAAAAATCAAGAATGTGCGAATTCTGAATGCATGAAGAATGTTTACGCGTAGCAATATCCTGAATTATAACGGTAAACAATAAGAAGTTGAAAGTCTGTTTTACGTTAGGGTTTTAAACTGTTGGGCAGCGACTGTCATATGTATATAACGAATTAACATACTACGTATACCCGTTTCTAAATGCATAATGTATCAACTCCATTTCGACGTGTTAATACCATTTACATTAGGTGATTTAAGAAGGCTCAATCCCCATCCCCAAGCAGGGTATTTAGCCAAGGGTTTGCCTCGCCACGGAACCAATAAAATATCAAACATTTATGAAAAGATAAAGAAACAGACTTAAATAGCTATTGACATTTAGAAACAGCCCCTATCAAAATATCAAACTTTTCCATAAATTATTGAAATAAAGAGGTTTTTAATCGCTGTTTGGGAAGCGATATCAGATGACTGAACACTGTGTTATGCGTGGCTCCATGGCTGCTCGGTTTGTATGTTCGAACTGATTAAAGGATTACCACGCTTACATTTTTAAACAGATTTGCATTGAACTGCATTTGATTTATTTTAACTGAGATTGGGGATCAACCATAAAAAGCGCATTAAAACTCAAAGGCATGTATGTTACCTGTATTGTACTCCGGTATAAGTGTCAGTTATAAAATTGATCTTTGCGGAGAGATTATCTCGTGCACGATCCTGTTGTACTATTGAGTAACGCGTAAAAGAAAGAAATCAGTGCTCACTCTAGTTTCGTAACCTCTCAATTCATTTGAAAATCGTTAAACCAACGTGTTTGTACTTGGTCCTCGGGTCTTTCATCAGGAAAAGACACTATGCACCTAAAAGACCCCGGAGAATTCGCCATTAACCATATTGATAGTTCTAGCGGAGACTAACGTACCGTGCAGGGTGAGCGATCAGTTTGACACATCGCTTCCACCGGCAGAACAGCCACATGGAATCGTCCTCAAAATGTGCTGCCTGTTCGTTCACAAGAGCCGCAATAAAGCTACATTTGCGTATAGGTGTATTTGAGATTATTCTGGGAGGACCAGAGTTGTACTAACTCTGTGGGTGGTATCGCTTATTCCAGTATTCAGTTTGTTTGTGTTTTAAAGCCAGTTAACATATTTCCGGTCATATTACGACGATTTGTAAATAACCTTGAACATACAAACAAGTGATCGATATCATGAGCAACGTCCTACGGGGTACGATGCCATTCAAGCAATCAAGTCATCGGGCCTGCCCCCCCCCCCCCCCCCCCCCCCCCCTGTGCTTCTAATAAATTACCATTCCCAGAAGCCGTATGTGTGCAATCATCGATGGTCGTCATGCCTCACACTAAGCGAACATACAATCCATTTGAACTGGCATTTGGTTCCTCAATCTAATCAACATCCAATGTCCACCTAACCTTTGGGGACATCGCCCTTCCCCAGATCAAGCTAGTGGCTTATCAACACTTGTAAAGCATAAACACTCGAAGCAGTTGTTATTTAAGTGCCAGCCATTATATTCTGATGCAGATTATATTTTTGAAGTATTTTCTGTGAAATTATTTTTTTCACAAATACCCAAGCACCCCAACCGCTCCCCCTGGAGTATATAAGGACCGACCCTAAATATCAACACTGTATTTACTACCGTAACCTTGATTTCAATAATTTCCCTACACATCCACACGTGAGCACCCGGTACCCCATCCCCACAGCATCCCAGTCGCCTTACCTTGTCCTGTTGCTGCTGAATCTGCTTCATGAGGATGCTTCTCTTCTTGTCCTTACATCTCTTGTTCTGGAACCACACCCTGATGACCCGGGGGGATAGGCCGGTCATCTCCACCAGCTGTTCCTTCATGAGGGCGTCAGGCCTGGGGTTCGCGTTATAGCATGTCCGTAACGTATGTAACTGTTTCTCATTTAACACCGTCCTCACCCGTGTGGTCTTGTGATCTGACTTATGACCACCCCGACCCGCCTTGGTTCCGCCTGCCTGCTCTGCTCGACCTGGGGGTGGGAACATTTGTGTCAGATATGATAATGAAATGCTTATGTATCACAAAATAACGGTAAATGTGATAAACCAGCCTTCTCTTTTTGGGGGGTCCTATTCTACAGTGTGGGGCGTTGGGGTAGCCTTGTGGTTAAAGCGTTTGCTCGTCACGCTGAAAACCCGGGTTCGATTCCCCACATGGGTACAAAGTGTGAAGCCCATTTGTCTAGTCCCCCGCCGTGATAATGCTGGAAGTCACTAGAGTGTCTGAAAGCTAAGGAACACTTGTAGTGGGACACCAGTGGTCACCCATCGCTTTTCATGGATTCAAACCCGTGTCTCAAAACCACACTGGTAAAAATACCACTGGGCTAACACGATCTAAAACATCCTAACGGGGCAGTTGGCTGCATCCTATATCCACAATAGGCTGAACCTTACAGCTATTTCAGTGATCTTGTCATACTACTTGATCCACAACACCTTCCGGTTACAACAAACTGAAAATTGTTTGTCCGACATTTTTTCGAAAAACACTATTTTGGGGTGAGTTATCGATAAAGTTAAATGACATTTGTTTCGTGGGAAACTCCCAAAATAGTCATGGTCAGTGTCGCATTTAGTCAATACAGTCTAAAATGATAACACCCCATAAGACTTTTGCTTTTTCATTTAAATATAAATCTCAGAGAGGATTTCGCAATTTTGATTAAAAATGCAACGAAAGTTGCCTTACCATCTTGGCTTTACCTAGATATTGAACACAATGTAAAGCTGTCATTTCAAGGTCGACATGGGACACGTGTCCTTGTGAGAGTGACATGTGAATCACATGCCTCTATTACACAAACAAACAATGCCAAAACACGGAAATGAACGATTAATGCCCGCGTTAATTACATTGATATGTACCTCCTTACAGTTAATTAGATTCATAGGAAATACGTCAAGCGTCTATTGATCTGAACAAGGTTGAGTGAGTGAGTGAGTGTGTGAGAGAGGTTTAACGTCGCGTTTTGTCTTCTCTCTTATTGTGTTCTATCCTACAGTGCATGTACTTTCGTACATTAACATAGACGCGTATGAGTGAGTGAGTGAGTATTGTTTTACGCCGCTTTTAGCAATATTCCAGCAATATCAAGACGGGGAACACCAGAAATGGGCTTCAAACATTGTACCCATGTGGGAATCGAACCCGGGTTTTCAATGTGACGAGCAAACGCTTTAACCACTGGGCTACCCCACCGTATCAGAGTAAGGACTACCAGCACCAGGCCTTAATCCTGGCGACCATGTATTTGTCAGGTACTGTTCCCCCTGCACAATGTTATTCACAATCCTTATCTACAAATCAAGGGGCGTTCGTCCCCCATGACGCAGTGGGTATGTTGTACACGACAGTACATGCTTCAACCAGCAGTGTGATGGACGTCATCTGCCCGGTCCCCTTCTGTACCACTTAATCAGATTTTAAAAACTTAAGTAAGATTTTGTCAAGTCTGTTTGAGGCCTTGTCTAATATTTATCATTACGTGTATTTCGCCGTGTGTCTGCATTGCACGTAGCGTATGTCGTTATACCTAAACGAGGGGGTTACAAGGTAGCGTATTTCGTTATACCTAGGGGGTGTACAAGGTAGCGTATTTCGTTATACCTATATGATGGGTGTATACAATGACGCGTATTTCGTTATACCAACACGAGGGTGTTACAAGGTAGCGTATTTCGTAATACCTAGGGGGTGTACAAGGTAGCGTATTTGGTTATACCTATATGATGGGTGTATACAATGTAGCGTATTTCGTTATACCAACACGAGGGGGTTACAAGGTAGCGTATTTCGTTATACCTAGGGGGTGTACAAGGTAGCGTATTTCGTTATACCAATATGATGGGTGTATACAATGTATCGTATTTCGTTATATATATATGATGTCGGTATACAAGGTAGCATATTTCGGTACACATCGCACATGTGGAATTCGATCGTGATGAGTAGATGCACTTGAAAGAAGATGACCCATTAATCATAGACACTTTTCGTCCGGGTAACGATTACAGATTGTGGACCATGGACACAGAGTAACTTCCCTTCTTATATTTAGACTTCCCTAACAAGACTTGTCCGGAAGACGGGTTCCCGGACCAACAGTGTCCGAAATATCGAGGTTTCATTGTATAAAGGTATTTGATCACACAAATACACATGCAACCTGAGAGGATTCAACATGAAAGGTAGGCTGTTTCTGCAAGCTAGTTTTATTATTAAACCTGTAGCGATGTTTTTGGATGTCAGTTCTTGGTTGCCAGGAATGTAGATGATCTTGATTTGAACGTTACGAGTACATCGCAGCCTACTGCGCGGAGGACAGAATTGATGGATAGCTGGGCTGATAAGATGAACGAGTGACTTTGTTGGGCAAACTACGCCATCTAGCGACGGTATGACGGCGGGGCCCTGATTACCTACCCTTACCATCCCTGTTGTTTAAACCCAGGAACTCAGTGAGACCGGCTTTGCGTAACAATACAATCTGCTGTGGGGTGTTTTGCGCAGTTTCTGTGATTATTGTATCTTTTTGATAAATATACAGAGTCGGAAGAATCGGAGAAATCTGGAGGAGAACAGAGGAAGCCGTGTTATTGTTTGTGTCGGAGCGGTCCGCTTCCTCATCCGAACACATCCTGAGTTTGATAACTTTAGAAACCGGACACGATTAAATCCGATTTAATCTCAAATTGGGAAGATCAGGTTCGATGAGGAGGCTTTTGTTTTATTTATTGGTGTATGAAAATAAACCAGCATGTAATAAAAGTAGCATGTTTGCCGAAATGATTCAATGATGGCGCGGAGAAGGTCCTGGGTCGAATGCCATCCAAGATGAGGACGATCAAGTTTCAGGACAATACGACAGGGATGCGTCCACTTGGGATTTCCACAGCTATCTGTTAGAACATGGAGGCCATTGTGACATTCAATAACTGTCGGAGACTAATAGCCGGACGATTATCAATTAGTGAAACCGAAATATCAAAAGTTGTGTGTCTAGGATCGGCCGTGAAGCTGGTCCCGGTTGAATATTGTTGAAAAGATTGCCAGATAGACGGCATACTGAACCCATTCTGACTGACGACGCATGTCCCTAGTGGGCAAATTAATTACACGTTTTCACACGTTGGGTCCACAGACGATCGGGTCGAGTGCCGCACATTTTATATCTGATAACTAGTCGTGTAGCAAACAGTTTCATCTGGGACAAGACAAGCAAATTAAGGCGAGAGGAAAATACAATCTGCTACAAAGATAATCGGAATTTATTTCCTTTGCAAACCACGATCGCCTCTGTTCGCTGGATAATTCCCCCATCGCATGCAAATATACAAGATTAGAAGCCCATTTTACTATTGTTACAGGCTTTCCGGAATTAAAATATTCTAGCTATTTGTCTGTGAGCGTGTGTCTCCGAGCTACCCTTTAACCTTTGTGTAATTATTAAATATAATGCAGACATGGTTTATATGATTGAATCAAAAGCAGGTTGGTTAATGCAGAGTTAAGAGATAAATACGACCTGGGTCGTCATGTCTTGATTAGATCGCGCACACAATCTGATAACTGGCGGAGGGATACATTCATGTGGTCATTTTACTCACTTTATCTTATCTTGTGTCATTCCACCAGACCAGCCACTCAAAGGTCCGCTATCAATAGCTTTTTGCCTATCTATAGTATACATTTCCTAATGATTTTTAAAACATCGTTGAAGATAAATGGCTTTTTGAAAGTCTAGATTCTCTAAGAGCTTCCGACAGTTTGACATTTGAGAAATCGACATTAATCGGTTAAAATGTTCATTTTGAAACTTAGCAGCCTATGGTTTATATTAGTTTGATGCTTATTCAAGCTCGATATGTCAAATGTCTATTTGTTTTAAGCATTAATGAGGGATCATCTTTCTGGTAATGTGGATGTGTTGGGGAATATTTCATCATTACGGGGATGTACAGCAATTTACAACCATCCCAAAACGTGCATCATTAACCGCTGCTTTTAGTCGTCAGTACAAATGACGAAATCGATGGTGACATGGGATATTTTAAAACGTAACAACATCACACCTTGCGGTAGACTTTGTAGACACACGCAGATCAAACTCCCTGTTAAGAAACGCGCACTTAAATACGCATATAGATATAAGAATGCACTATGGTTTTGTTACCCATATAAATGCATGAATCATAAACAAGGTACAAGTAACATATTCATGTATATCGTTCTGCAGAAGAATCAGTGTAAATAAATAATCACTTCGATATAATATATAGTCTACTAGAAAACCATATGGACACTATTGTTATATTTTACGTGACTAAAAAGGTCATGAATAGCCTGGTTGCCCTGGAAACAAATTTAAAAAATATCAAATTTACGGAACTGGTTTGACAAATCATCTCTACACTCTACAAAATCAGTCCGAATAGTAAGAAAATCTCTTCGGCTGAGTCAGTATAAATAATTCATACATAACGTAAAACGATTTCATTGTAATATGGTTTGCATTTTAGATAGCATCACCCTTCGTATGGGGTGACAACATGGCCACACGCACGTACTAGTACCACATACGAAGCAAAATGACAATCAAGATGGCTTCACGTCAACCATCTCAAGAATATATTTAAACATCCAAAATTGCATTTCAAATTGGAATCTATATAACATCTTATCAAATGATTCAAATATGTACAAAAATATGCGAGAAGAAATACACGTAAAAAATATTACCTGCGAGCTGTAGTCCATTCTTTTCCGAGTGGCTTTTCTTATTGTTGTTGTTTACACTTGATGAATCGTTATTGTTATTATTATTATTGCTAAGGGGGCTCCCAGGATCACATAGAGGACCTGAAGCACGTTCAACGACATCATGATCAGCTTTACAGAACAGCCCGTCATCTCGCAAGGCAAATTCATCTCCTGGTATCAGCTGTCTGCTACACGCTACGCAACGGAAACAGTCGATGTGAAATATTTTTGTTTTTGCTCTCATAACAAAGTCATTCTTACTGAATCCTAAACCACACTTAGCACACTTTGTCCCGAATAACCTGAAAATAAAGAGCGGTGGATTAGATAGAATCAACACAGATTGAATAAGCATGATAAAGTTTCCAGCGAGATTCACACGGACAATCAACACGTAACTTCAAGAAAGCAACGACGAGATTCTATCTATATGTAAAATAACGTTATTATGTGTTGCACCTGCACTGTAGCGAGTTCATAGGAACGGTTGAAGCGTTTGGAATGTGTGAATTAAAAAAACACTGTACTTATTGGATTGGTTTGTGTATTACTGAATGTTTATTATAATTTTAATACATATTCTGACTAAATTATTCATACTATTATAAAACAAACCCATGTACATATGTAGGTGTAATTTGATATAATTTACATAAATTAATAAGGTTTGTTACATTTAATTTGAATTAGATTAAAATGAATATTCTTCCCACTATAGAATGCTCGAGGCCTGTCTTTATATGTAAAGCCATTCAGAGTTTTTAATTCATTAGCAAACCTATTATCAAACGGGTTTCCTTTGGTGTCAGACACGCGACCCACTGCGCAATATCTATATTATCACTGAAAGTAATATTTTAAAGCCATATCTATTGAGGCTGATATGTGATGATTTCATGCAATGATAATAAAAAAGGATCGATATTTGAAAATAATAACATCAGTTTACCATATCATTCATTAACATATTTATCACCTCATGGTCGTGTCACATGTGTGCGACTATGTTTTAGATTTCATTTGGCTGACGTATAACCAGCAACGAATGTCTAAACCACGTGTTGATATTCCCCATTAATTTTCAATTAACACTTAATAAATCCTTTTTAAAACATTCCATACAAATAGATACTGTATTCAACATACAGTCACACACATTAGGGAACCTTGCACATATTTATAGAACCATACAATACATAGTGTATAATATTTATATTTACTGCTCAATCATAGAAACCTACATTAGTGTTATTCTAAGGCAAACTGCAATTATTTAAACACAGACATACAAACTCGTGAAATAGTTAAGCAAGAACGTGGTCACAAAATGCTTCTTTCATTATACAATGTCGCCCAAAATACCGGAAATATTTCTCCCCAAGTAATATAATTCATACTGTTTTCATTTACTCTATCTGTAAGCAGATAACAATAAAATGCTTCAATGTTAACTAACATTAGCTATTGTCACTGATATTAAAGATTCCCTTTCGTTCAACTGCACGCAAGCGACAATAAACCACCTGAAATACAATCGTCAAAAGTTGGGGTGTGCTATCAATATTTGCATGAAAAATTCATAGGAATGCTTTAGTTAAAGAATTCCCTTTCTATTTTTTCTATTAAATATGCATGTCGCGATTTGGGAAGTAACCCTTTTCCTATAGCGTTAACACGCACATTACACCCAAAGGCTGATTCTAGCCCATGAGCTCAAAAATTAAAGATTTCTGTGTTTAAGGAAAAGATTAGCCAATATTTTTTGTTTAGTTTGCAGATCTTGTTGTTTATCTCAGACAAACTTGAGATGATAAACTGCGTTTTCTTTGAATCGGAAATCGGAAAACTCTTAGCGGATTTCGAGAAGAAAGTCGATTTGGGATCGAAAACAAATTCCAGCAATATGCTCAAATGAACAGTTAGGGGGCGTCCTGGGAAGGTCTCTAATTGCGTCACTATGGAACCTGTAGACCCATGTATGTATTTGAAGGTATTTATGTGAAGAGTGAATTCTATCAAATACATCGCACCCATCGTATCTCTAATTCCCCGAGCATTGATTGTGGGAGACATTCAAAGAACAACCATCGGCTGAAGAAGTACGATCAGCTCTCAAATTACCTTAATTATTAGCGTGCTCAAACTCTTCAAATAATTAATACATCTATCAGAGAAACCATCTGAATTTGTTAGGGAGGAAAATGATTTCCTTAGCGAAACTCTTTAATCATGTGTATTGCTTCACATTGATTAAGTCATCCCTATAAAGCACCGATTGATATTGACTTGTTATTTAGCTCTGTGTACAAACGTGCATTGATAACTTATCTATTAAATTTCTTTAACAGGTATACAGATATCATAATAACCAACAAAATATCTTATCTTAGATACATTTTAATAGTGATATTACAATGTCAAAATATACTAGTAATTTACATACACATACCAATTATTCCATTACTAACTCACTTGATAATTACATGGAACAAACAACCAAACCGTCCTGGTGTTTAATTATTATTGAAATAATTTAATTAAGGGCTAAGTTATTGAGGGGCCGTTAGAAGTTCAATATCGTCACACAGATCAGCGGTAGACCAAGTTATTTACAAGGAATACGCTTGTTGGTGCTTTTAGTAGATTGAATCAATAGGGCCGTAATCTCTGAACTCTGTGAGCTTGAGTAATTAAGACGATTGCTTTAAAAGGTTTTTGGATGAAAAGCACGAATGCACTTGAATTTTGGCACGCCTATTAAGATGGGTAAGCGCGATATCTCACCATCATGGCTGTTTCTGCCAAATACGTTTCACCCTTTTATTAAAGACAGCGTATTCACTATTATAAGAACATTTATAAAGGTACGTGTAATACTGGTCCAAATGCTTATAACTTCAGATAAGCGTAACATAAGCATTTTTTTTGTATTTTAACATACAATTTCTGATCTCATATATGTTCATAGTTTTACTTGTGTGCTTTCCATACACTCACATCACCAGCGTAAAATAATTTGAGGGTTGGAGCGAGCCTTCTTTTTGGAGAAAGAAATTTAAATATAAATTATTTCAAAACCTTTATCCATGACCTTTGACACTTTATGTTATCTTTATGAAAATTGCGTGAATATCTCGGCAAAGGAAAACATACAACGTTATGTGTTTATGTTATAAACAGAAGCCCCGGTCGCGGAGACGTATGTTTTCACGGGCCAGTTGCCCCTTCAGTTTAATCGCTCAAAAATATGAAATACTATCCTCAAATAAAATATTGATAATACACGGAGTTATTACAAGAAAGAACGGAAATTTGAACATCATTTTCCCTTGTCAAGACACAGTCTCTAATTAAGAGACGGTGAATTCAAACACTAAAACCATCCATACGAGACCAGCGTTCCGTTTCTTCTGACCCCCAAACAGACGCGCGACACAGTCGACGGGCCAGCTGGGACACACTATGGAGTTAGGGTGGGGGAACGGGGGGACGGGGGACGCTTCATTTGGGACCCGTTGTACTCGCGCTTTAACTCTAATGAGGCATACACCGCGCTTGTGATGCCTTCATTAAACATGGCTTGAGTAAAAGCCAATGGACATTTGATTTTGTGAACTGTCACTATGCCTGACGCTATACTAAGCCCATGTCAAACCTCATCCACGAACAATCGTTACCTTTCACCTGTCCCACTTTTTGTAATTCTTCACAGGTCGGTGAAGTGTTGTTTTGCTGACTTTTACCTCAGTAATATTCTTGTTTTAATACGGGAGTATTGCGTTACATTGACGTATACCAGATACTCTTATATCCCGTGTGTCCTTGTCAACTTGTAAGCGTTACATGGATAGATATGACTTATGAATATTGAAATCATTGAGAATTAGATATGGAAGTTCATTGATTTAATAACATTGCATTAATTTAAAAAATTAATTAAATTCCTACGTCATGAAATATTATCCGGTCTTTGGACATTTGAATTGTCCATTAATGATAACGCATTCTATAGAGCTGGATGTATATATATATGCCATAAGCGTGTCAATACCTTTCCTGCGAGTTGGCAATATTTACACTATTAATGTCATAGTGACATATGACAATATGTTGCGTATGCTATGCTGAATAGTATGTTTATTCCTACTGGTCCACCCGGATATATCGCCCCTGTTCTGCGGCAGGTTCTACCCTGATATGTCGCAGTACGACAACCGTACACATCGTTTTTGGCACGAAGTCACTGTCAACCAACACTTATCTCCGAGAGCAACACAACACTACTGGCACACAACGTAAGGGTACCACCCATGGCAACCGACGTATCCTATTCAGCTTTTTTAAAAGGTCCTAATATTAATAAACTGACAGTTATCTCACAGTAATTTTGCATTTGAACCTGGTCTAATCACATGTATATGTTATTATGATCTATTATATTTAATATGTTATCGAGCCCGGGGCATATACACTGCTGCTGCATACAGTTTACGGTAGCGCTATCTCGGTATATATAATAAACAATAAACATCTGGTGTTCTTTTCAGAATAACTAGGTAGTATACAAATCCGAATATATTTGACATATACACACACTTTGTTTTCGCATTTGTACACACATCGTTTATAGTCATCTGATGCCATTCATTTATAAATCGGACCTCATTATTAAGTTTGTTCCTATTTCTCTAATGATGTCTATATCAAGGCCACCTTTGTTCCATATTTTTTGTTTCATATTGTTCATAACGAACTAAGATGGTCGGTTGATGGGTGTATTTTTAGGCATGGCGACTTTTTAGGGTAATCAGTCCTTCGCAAGTCCAGTCCTTGGTTTGGACAGCCAATATATACTAGTATATATATATATTATAACCATCTTGCACTCCGCAATGGCAGTGTGGCAATATACCCGCCTATGATTTAAGAATTCCTGTGTTTCAGATTCCTAATATAATAAGTATAAGTATTTATATCAAGATGGTGCATGGTACATTTGACATATTCTTCCAACCACAACAAACTTTGCAAACTTTGTACAAGTACTTGCAGTAATAAAATGTAATGAAGGCTTACCTCACGTAGTCCCGTTTACAGTAGGTTTTTCCATCCCTGACAAAACATGTACACGACTCGTCGAGGTACTGGTCACAGTCGGCACACTTAAGGCACCCTGCGTGCCACTCCAAGTCAGGAGCGACCCTCATAATAAACTGGTCCTGAATCTGTGAGCCACAGCCGACACAGACCGACACCCGTCGCTTGGTGCCTGCAATACAACAGTAAAATTAGACGAGTCTCGAAAACCACAAATTTATATCAATTATTGGTACATTAGGCGACCTGTCAAACGCTGAACGTAGGGGTACAGATCGGCCCGTGCGTCGAAACATTTAAGTGATATCGGTGACGGAAGACAACGCTGGCTCGTTGAATGACTTTACATGACAATGATAACTTACTTGGGGTCTGCGTCTCAGCGGTCATTTCCTCGGACTTTGAGGGTGAAATTTTGGCTGGTTTTGAGCAACAACACTCCACGTGGAAAGAAGGACTCGCAGATATGTGTACGTTCGTTCCCGGCTACTCTCAAACACTCTTGAAAACTCGTGCAAGGTTGATGACACAAAATACCTCTATAAATTCCTAGCCTAGAAACTGCGCATTTGATTGGTCGTCACACCGTGACGGGAGCACGTGACCTGCTAATTATAGTGAGTGGGCGTGTCAGACATGTGCGACTCGGCGAAGAGCTGAGTGAAGGCTGCCTATGTGGGCTCTCGCTCGTGGAGTACTGCCCTCGCTCGTAGAGCCATAGCTGTCACTCATAGCAGACAGCTTCCCCCAAACAAACCCGAGTGTGAGGGTTAGTCTTCATTCGTAACGAGACGTAAGGGCCTTTCACCATAGTAAACCAACATGTCTAAATATACAAATACTTATATACATAGTGAAGGGGGGTTATGTACAAGAGGGAAGGTTTATTTACAAGATGCCCTTTCAGATGAAAGAAAATATGATTTCATAAACACTATACACGTTCTGGGCTGGTGCACAGTACTAACAAAGAACGAGCAGTATTAACAATACGAGAATGGTCCATGACATTCAGCTGCACACGTGAAGAATAAAACTTGTTTTTTTGTGTACCTAATTAAACTTATGTGCTCGTGACTTAAAAGTGTTCAAGGTTTTTTTTGGGTTAAAATGTGTATTATTACGTTTGATAGCGTGTAATTCTCACTCTGTACAGATGTATAAGGTTTGTATAAACACATAGGTGGAGACGCAGGTGCAACGTCGGATTTTATTGCTTTAGAAGTTTATTACAGCTATTAATAATAAATACACCTGGATTGATGACATATTGAATGAGTAGCAGAGGACCGAGTAGCCAGTAGCTGATCAGCATCTTCATCAGAGTAGATTCAACGTGCCATCCCTAGCCTTTCCGGGTATACGTGTTTGTGACAGAGGGTAGCCAAAACCTAAACATGAAACAACTGTCTGATTATAAGAACAGTGTAATAAGCTTCCATATTCATTATTTTATTTAGTTGCGTTTTTTCCGTAAGGATATCGATGCTGTACTGTTAATTTATTTCAAATTTGTGTCTTAACATACTGCCAAGGCCAGATTAAGAATAATAAAAGTGTTAATTTAAGCATAAGGATTCGTGTTTGCTTTAAAATGTTCGTATAAACATCCCGCACCTTAAAAAAAATGATTTCAACTATCAAAGTTTAACCAGCGTCGGTAGGTTTAAAACTATATATCAATGACGGTGTATATTATATAAATGGTTGAGTTGGTTGTATAACGCTGATCTGTGATGTAGCTATATCAATGTTTGGCTGTTGTGAGTTATCATCACTGAGCAGGTCTTCCACGCAAGCAAACTGACTTTAAACACTTTCCCCATCGCTGCACAGTAGTCCAAATTCCCCATCGTTCACCCCGTCTCAACAAATTAAAGCAGCGTGTTTTCATTTCACACACAACAAGCTCGTGTTTTTTTCACACGAGGCCAATCTATTGCGCTTATCGGGTGCTGTCACTCAGCCTTGGCGAGCCAGGACTCGGGAACGGGCCTCTGTGGGGGACCGCCCCCCGACGCTCTCGGAATTAACATCGTAATCTGAACGCTGAACGCTGCCGTAAGGAAACAGTCCAAACGAGGAGAAGGATCCCAAACTGGCGAGATTAAACCAGGGGATCTGCAATACTAGACTCCGGTATGGGCCATGTGGCGGAGCATTTGGGGATCGGGAAAGGGGGTTGAGGGTCACTTTTCAGTTTGTTGTGACTGCTAGGGAGATGTTCCAAGAATCCCTGCTCAAAATGCAAAAATATTGAAAATTTGATATTTGCATGAAGAGAGTGGCTTAAATGTATCTCATGACACGGCATTCGGTAGGGTTGGTACACATTTCAATATCAATAAACTATCTTTGAATCTTTAATTATTGTTAATTGAAGTTGTCAAATATAACGTACAGAAATATATCCAAATATTTGCCTTCAACAATAATATCTCACCGTTTCACAATAAACACGATTTTTGTTCATTTGGAAATATGTTTTTTTCTCCTAATCAATGAAATAGTCATTCGGCTATGCTGATTAAATGCATGCATGTTACAATGCAAATGAATGTAATTAACAGCTTTAATAGCAGTACCCACGTAATACAATAATTTAGTCATACTGTGTTCCTATATTAAATATGGTCAGGTTTCTGAACCTGTACACGAAGGTATTGTGTGTTTCTATCAATACTCTTTTCGTTTATAAACATAACCTTAAACATCCCGTTAATGTCGATATGCAGAAACGATTTAAAACAAATGCTTCTAAAGATTCACGGAATTCATTAACTGTATGTAATTGGATTAATTGTAAACAACTTCCTATTTGCATAACAAAACCACAGAACACTAAAATACTTCTTCAATCGACGATAGCCGTATTCAATAACACGAAACAGTTGATCAGTACAAATTACTATCAATCGAAATCCAAATGCCTTGTTATTATTTCCACCCGGTCTGCTTGAGAATCGATCTGTACCCGCAATGTCGATCGCTGTAATAACACCAAGGCCTATAATCACCATACGTTATCCGAAGTGTCTCTTTACCCGTGAATAAGCATCGGCCTACTATAACGTATACATGGGTTGAGAATGCTGCAATCACATTGACGTGGATGCTCTCTGATCAAAGTGTTAATGTAATTTCAAGCCACGAAGTCTTTGATCTCAATTAGTAATTATCTCCCGTCATAGAATTTAATCTGGTGTTTATGGAACAGTGTTGTCATAATCAGGCTTCTATATCGTTACTTAATCTATCATTATCAGAGTGATGGTGTGTAAATTATAGAACGATCGTTAAATACATAAAACTGATACGTTTGTTTAGAAAATATTATTTATTTATAATAGGAATGAAACAAATATGATTTACATAAGTATTTCAAGTTTCAACGTGTGTTGCAGGTAATGTTCCACAATTAACATTACTCAAACTCACTTCTCTGATGACGTTGACAATATTAGATTTTTCGGATTTCATATTTTCACCTTTGAAGCATCGTGTTACATTCATATAGGTTTCACTGAAAGAAATCGATGATAGCAAAATAAAAACTATAATGGGATGTCTTTGTGAAGTTCAACGTTAATGTATTTGATAATTCATCTCGGACGTATAAATCTGATCTACTTTCTTTAAATGTCATTCCGGTGAGATATGGAGCGTTGTTGTCATCACGTTGAGTTCTTGTTTCAAATGCAGAAAACTCCACTAACTTTTGACCTCGAACCGGTCACTCATTGTCCAGATTCACGTGGCGCGTGGTCGGTCTCGCGCTGACCGGAGCATTAATCCCTTCAAACAATAGAATAGTTACTCTATTTGAATTTCTGTCAAAGCAATCTTTTTCCAACGCCTCAACCGTAGAGGCAGTGCCAAATCTCGAGTGTTTCTTTTCTAGTTTTTGAGTTGATTGCTTGAGTCTGGGGCGGCATAAGCCTTCACAGGTGATCGACCCTCGAGTAGTCCACAATTACAGCCAGTATTCTTGAGTGGACACTATTAACGTTTTATGAATAGATAGCCTCTGTCAACTTAATCATTTACGAATTTCCCGAAAACTTTGTTACCAATACACATCAAAGAACATACTGGTAGTATTTCCGAGTATTGTTATTAATTATTTTTTCTTTGTATGAAAAAATGTTACTGTATCGATTATTTTGTTGTTGTTTATTTACGACCATGTCTATACAGAGTCCTAAATAATACTTCGTCTTTTGGTGAATGAAATTAAGACCTATTAAGACTATACATATCCACATACATGAAAAAAAAGATTTTAATAAGCAAGCTATGCTTGGCACTATTGACTATGAGGTCACAGATTGATTTTCGTTACTATTGATGCATTTCGCAGCATATCGTTGGAACAAGAAAGACACATACTAAATTGTAGATGTTTCTTGTAACAGGTAACGGCATGGTTATATGTCGCTACTTAGAAAACATCAAGTGATTTTGAAATTGAAACCTGCATTCAGTTCATAGATATTATACATTTTGGCTTATATTAGGTTTGTGTGTAAACGGTTGTTATATACTATGCATGCTGCGTTAGTAATGTAAATCGTGTATATTCTTCAACGATCCAACCGCATTGGAAGTTATATTAATATTAAAATATATCATATATTGAACATGAAATCATTAGAAGCTTATTTGTACACGGAATGATATTGATAGAGAAAACTGACTCCGTGTCTTCTGTCATATTTCTAAAGAATCCCCGCTTGTTCGTGTGTTCATTTTCTTGATACACTTAAAGGACAATATATAATTATGATTTGAACGGTTCATTTAAGTCTTATTACTAGTACTTTATAAATCTGTCTGAAGAGACTTTTTTTGACACTATACATAATAGTTATTATTATTATTATTATAATGATGGTGATGATGATGATGGTTATAATTACATGTTTAAACCATTTTTGGGGTATATATGCATACAGTCCGTATGTACTACTGTTCGTATCTGAGTATACGCTCTCTGTATTGCGGGTGTCTTAGAGGTGCATGTCGTTACGGATGCTGCCCCTGTGCTCTGGTGATACAGAGTTTTCGGGTGAGTGGAAATGTGGAAGACGACAAGTGGAAGTGACATGTCACCACGCTCAGAGGGAGAGCCGTTCAACTGAAGTAAACACACACACGACAGACTGTACTCCC